CTTCCCCATGCCGAATTGCAGATTTTTGGCAGATTTTTTAGGATTATCCGTCTCGTGGAAAAGTCGAATGTGGGGAAAAGTCTCAGAAGAAAAGAGGAACGGAAGCGGCAATCAGAAGGTAGAGCAGCTGTTGCAGAATTTCCATTTCCACTATTTCCAGTTCCCACTCCCCAATGCCAAATGGCAGATTTTTGGTGAATTTTTTTTCAGGATGATCCTTCTAGTGGAAAGGTCGGATGTAGGAAAGATTTTTCTTTCGGAAAGACGTCGCTCTCAGAGTACATTCAGAAACTCTTGATGTAAATGATGGTACCGTAACCGGGGTGTATTCCAACTCAGAAAACAGCTTCTGAATCCTTTCTCCTGTAAGCATCGAACGAAGGGAGTTGAGACCAAACCTGAAAGAAAATGATCGGATGGGATAATATAATACTATATATATTAGACTAAATTTGTGTGCTGAAGTGTGCATAGCTACCAGAAAGTTTTCTCGTTAATTCATGTGATTTAGCCACACACAGTTAAAAGTTATTTGTGGTATTGCGGGCCGACGATGCTGGTGGTGGTCGAACGGAAGCGACAACAACAGATGACAGCTAAAAAGCAGCATCGGAGGGGCAGGGCTGTCCCCTTATGTTTCTGCTAGCATTCCTTGTTCTCAGCTGAAATGAAGGCTCGCCGTGAAATTCTTCAGATGTAGAAAAGAAGACTAACCACGGCTTGGCTAGAGCACGACTTGCCGCTGAGAACGTTTTTGCGGAATACGTTCCAACAACCTTCCCTTCCCCCCCCCTCTGAGAAGGCTCTCCCTCTGGCACACCCGTACCTCTTCCATCTTGCAATCCTTCCTACCATTTCTCTAAACCTTCCTAGCTCCCACCAATTTTCCGTGGTTTTTCTTTCCAAACGTGTCCAGCAATTCTCCAGTAACTTCTGGCGAGGATTAAGTAGCACACGTGAAACGGGAAAAACTGAGAACCGGAAAAGTCAGCTAAACATTTTCTCGAAAGGTGAGTACGGCCACCACCGATTAAAGACGGACACACGCGCGCTGGTCGTGATCACTTGGCGCACTTTGCCAGGCTAATCTAACTCACTGACATTTACCCTGGGAGCTCTTTCCGATCACGGAGATGGCAGACCAGTTGACAGTTGTCACATGGGTGCAGCCTGAAGTTGTTGCCAACTAAGTGGTGGTGTTGCGCGTTTATAGCGCCATTTCTTTCCAAAAGACCACCGATACGTTGGCCCACCCCAAATAAACTTTCTCCAGTTTCAGGCGTTGATACCAACAATGTGGGATGGCAAATGCCCTCAAGTGCAGCGAAGTAGCTCTGATGGTAAGGAAACTCATAATATGAGTAAGCCAAAATTACATCAAACTTCTGGGGTTTTGAGGCTCTGCTAGCTTTCGTAAAGACAAAGCACACCCACAAACACCAGAGAATACTCTACTTTGTTCGGAAGAAAAAACATCCTAACTGTGCTTAGAGGACATGTGCGGTGGGGCTAGAGCAGCTGTACGCACCCTCACGGGTTGACAGAGGAGGTATACATCACGTTTGGACCACACCAAGGATTGAATCTCAACCTGTTCCTCTTCTCCTGACTGATTTCATGGCAAAAAACTCATGGAGGAGCCAGTGAAAAACATCCCTTACGATGGCTGCATTGCCCTGATGGCGTAGTGGGAGAACTTCAAGGCAATGGCAGCGTTGGCGAGATGTGCGCTCTGAAACTGGGCTCCGAGTAAAGACGACCAGATTCCTGAGCGCGAAACCCACCGTGGATCACGATCAGATCACGGATTGGGTCAAGCATACGGCCCCGGTCCACATGAAGGCACAAGAGCAACCACTGTGAAGGATAGAAAGGCAGGTACTAAGGAGCCTGAAGACCACCCGATAAGGACGGCTTTGGAATTACAAGCACAAGACAAGCGACTATGAAGAGCTTTAAGAAGAGATGGAAGGACGTTATCGGGAAGCGGACCCTGCGACGGCGCGGGAGAAACCTTAAGGAGAAAAAGAAGACGACACTGCACATTCGAGTGCACGACTCACCTGCCACAAAAAGCACTCGAATCAGTTCACGCATGATTCTGCAACGTCCATCTATCTCATTCAGTGAGGTCTCTCCATATCTGTCATCAGACAACACCACTTACCGCAGCAATGCAGAACCGTTTTCGCTGCTGACGCTTTAGAGTGCCAAGGGGTTGAGTTTAGCACCCCTCCAACGATCATTGAAGCGGCCAAACGACAACAATCGACAAAGCGGGAAGCGGGCTAGAGCCGCGCCAATCCCAGACCCCCTGTTACGAACCAGCGCGTCCAGCGGGAACAGCTATGCTTACTACATTTATTGTACAAGAACCAAAACTCACTTCGTTTTCGGTAGAAAGATGTTGAAAGCGAAAGAAGGGTCCCTATAACGAAGGAAAGCAACTGAAGGTCGCTGTCTTCAGCGTATAACCGTTCAACATCGTGAGCATTCAGGTATTCCACCTGAAATCCCCTGATCAGACTTTTAAGTGATCCTGTGCCATCAACTCAGAAAAAGAAATGGAAAACAGTAATTGAAGTCTTGCGTCACCCCTCTTACCATCTTTAGAAACAAATATGGCGAACAGGAACACCTATCAAAGGCGGTTCTTCCTGAGGGGAGGGGAAGGGTAGCCGCAACTTCCGATCCCAATATACTTTGTTTTCACTCTTGGAATTCTTTAAGGTTACCTAGGAGTGAGGCAGCGCCAGTCAGTCAAAGCGAGAGTCCGTCAAATCACAAGCTTACTACAGCAACTGGGCCCTTGTCTTCCAGTTCAGATAGTTCTTCCCCCC